GAGAGAGAGAGAGATTGGAGAGAAAGATAGAGATAGAGAATGCGCGGTGTTTTTCTTTCGTACAATATTATACGATCGAGTTACGAATAGGGCTTAAAGGTTTGTAAGCGTAATCGCATAAACGAGGCAGATCTGAGCGTGTGCGTTCAACGAATGTATATCGTGATACTTGCACGTGCACATCACATCAGTCAACGATTCGTACATGCACAACGTACAAACGCGAAACGACCAAGTTGTGGTCGAGAGGGACATCAGCCTGTCTCCGTCAATGAAATAGTTAGATCTGTCAGTGCCAACTATCGCCTCGTTCTCGGTGGAGCCTTTTACATTTTATCTATCGCGTTGCTCGATCGAGTCATTTTTTTCAAAACAGTTCTTATACCGACCTCTTTACATCCGTCGCGGTAGCTTCTATTTGTCGAGAATAAAGGGAGAAAGTGCCGCGAATCTTGGGTCGGTTGTTATTTTTATTTATCAAAAGATAATATCCCGTTTCTTACGTTTTTTTTTTTTTTTTTTTTTTCTTCTTTTTTTTAATTCGCGTTGAACACAAACGGATTCCAACAAACGGATCAATCGATAAAATAAATCTTCGAATCTATCTTCGTCTATCGATATTTCAAATCTCTCCGTGTTGTTCTTTTCTCGTTTGCGTTTCGTCGTTCTTCTATTTGTACATTGCATACATATATACGTGTGATATATATCATCGTATATCATAATCCATTCTTTATTCTTCGTTTGTCTATCGTCAATTATTATGAAACGGAAAAAGGAAAGAAAAAACAAGATATAGGATAAAAATTAATATTAAGCTTAAGAAAAGTTAAATTGCTATATATATATATCGATTATCGAGCTGTATAATGCGTTAAGTTTGTACTTAAAATAGGAAAAGAAAGAAAGAAAGAAAGAAAGAAAGAAAGAAAACATTACGCATTTAATGATCTATGGAAAAACGCGAATTATAAAAAACATTTTTATCTGATCGCGCGCAAATGATCCTTGTTTCATGAAATCTTTTTTCTTCGTTTTTTTTTTTTCATCTCGCGATATAATCATAGCCGTGTATAAATATAATTATGATACAAACCAATTATACCTCGTACCTTTGTTTACGAGATATAGCAAAAAACGAGTATATAAAGGATAAAGGAACGAACGACTCTTGGCCTTCCACGATAAACGAAAGAAACGGGATCGAAAGCACGGTTCGCGGGTCACGGGAACCAAGTATCAAAACGTATGTTAAGTTATTGCTCCTCATGGTCGAACTTAAACACGTGGAGTAATTTATCAATTTGTGAATATGTTACGGAAGTGCTTCGTACTCGCGCGCCGTTAACGTTAAACGGCAATGTTTGCAAATCCCGATGCACGAATATCACAATGTCTCGTTTGATTTTCTATTGTGCATAATTTCTATTTTTCACACTCACACTTTATTTCTTATTATTTTTATAATTAACAACTTTACCTTTCATTTTACTCAACAAGTATTTTCTCTTTTCATAGAGTGATTTTGATCGTCGATTTATATACATACGCATCGCACAATCTCTCGAGTATTATTTATCATACCTAAGAATTTAATTCGCATACACGTATCGCATATCCGTAGAAACTCGATGTTAACAACAAGATAGATTTAGATTTTAAGAGATATGTATATTATCGCGGGTGTAAAACAACGGAGAAAAAAAAAAAAATAACACGTCAAATTTACGTACGTATATTTATCTCCACGTGATATTACAACATAATATAACAATCGCGATAATATTCTCATCGTCCAACTCTTCTTTTATTTCTTTTATTTTTTCCCTCCCAATCTAATTCATTATTAATTCACTCATTTGCGCGCTCGTCCCTTATTATTTCAATAGTAATCAATAGATACTCATTTAGATATAATTTTTAAATCGAAAATTTAATTATATTCTACACATTTCTATCTTATTCTATTCTATTATTCTTATTTATTCTATATTTCTATTTACTGTTCTTACGTACACGTGTACGAATATTCAAATATTTATTTCGAACGAAACAGTCATATCATTATAGTTAATTTCATATTCTTCGTTTATTCTTGCGTATAAATTATGCAAATTTGACAGTTCTTTTTCTACAATTACTCGTTCACATACGATGTATATACACTTCTAAGATCAATCGAACGTCAGTGTGTGTGTGTGTGTGTGTGTGTGTGTGTGTGTGTGTGTGTGTGTGTGTGTGTGTGTTGTTGTGTTGTGTGTGTGTGTGTTGTTGTGTGTGTGTGTGTTGTTGTGTGTG